CGTCTTTGTTGCGAATTATAAAGCAAATACACACCTTTGTCGAGCGGATCGTGTTTGTAACTTTGTGCTCCCAATTATTAGATACAGATTACGTGTTTCAAAGTTCGCCGTAGTTTTATGCCCTTTCAATTGAAATTAATTTAACCTTCACTTTAAAGCGCAATCAAAGGAGAAAAGACAAGCGTTGTTACTTTGCGTTATAATTATAACACAAAATTATATGACAACAAAACTGATGGTTTGATGAATAGGATGAACGGTTGTACGGGCGGTAGAAACATAACTTTTAGTAAGATAACCTTAACAGAAAGCTGTGCTACACTGCTTCCTTTTTAGCGCGCATTGTTGGAAAAATATACGCTACTATATTCGTTATGGCTGACTGACTGTCCGACTGAGATCACAGCAATTACAATAGCTAGAGACTTCAAATTTTGACTATAAGCTTTCTAATGCAGTGTAGATGTGCAGGCTTAGTCTATTTACTTGTGAGATCGATAATTGAAGAAAATAATTTCAATATGGTTTTCGGAGGTGCTATAATTTTACCGTTAGATAGCGCTACCAGTATAACAACTTAATTAGTAGCGCATTTACTATATTAGTTATGGCTGGCTGGCTGGCAGTCCGGCTGAGATCTCAGCAATTACAATTGCTAGAGATTTTAAATTTTCACTAAAAACTTTCTGATGTAGTGTAGATGTGCAGACTCTAGTCTATTTCGGGTTAGATTACTCATGAGATCGATAATTTTAAACTTTGCTAATGAAAAACTAATCTGCATTACCAAAAATGCGCTTTCATCATGCATACCTATGCTGATTTACAACTTGTTTTAAAACTCAACTCAACGAGATTTTTCCGTAATCGGACAACGCGCGTTGAACTTCTCCCATAACTTTAGCAAATTCCTATTCTTAATTGTTTTCTATTTTTAGCATTGGAAATGCTTATGTTTTGGTATGGGTATGAATTTACCAGATTTACCGAGTAGAAAAAAAAGACAGTTTGTCGCGTCTAGTGTTGATTGTACCGTACTCGACTGCAATCGGTAGATTCAGGAAAAGTCGCGAATACTGTCGATACGGTACTTACTTAACAGTGTGCAGGGGTTTTGTTAATTCGAGTTTCGAATTGAAAATTCTCTCACATCGCCCGTGATAGTATTACAAGCATGTTACGCTGCTTATTATTCAGAAAGTTTACGTTGTTCCGCGTGAAGGGTTATTTATGGCTTTATAGGTTATACGGTTATCATTTCCAATGTCTCCGATGGTTGCAAGGATTGCGAAATCGGTGAATTCTTTTAATGGTAGAAGAACGAAAGATGGTACTACACTGATCTTTGGATGAACCATGAACCTAATTATTAACTCATTTTACAACCAATGTTCGAAGGCGCTATTATGGTCACTTTCTCCATCCATCCATCCATCCGAGGGCGCCACTACTACAGTTTTCAATATGCGCAAGCCATGCGCCTAGTAGCTATCGGTCCCTCAATGAAATCGTGCCCACGTGTTTACGTATTTAAATATCCATGAGGCATTCGACGCGGCCTCAGCTTGCCTCATTCGCGTTCGTCCTCAAGGGAATGTTTTTGCCCCGCAGCACAACAATATAAATTGACTAAAAAGAAAAGCCGTCAATGCGTTCCACTGAAGTAAGTTTTGCCAAAAAAATATCACAAATTTCCATAAAAGTACAATGTTGCCGCCGCCAATTTTACCACACAATTATTTAATCAATGTTTACCCTGGTTGGTTAATCAAGGAGTCTTTGTTTTGTGCATATCAATTGAATTTAATCAAAGGTTTCATTTAATTTTTTGATAGAAATAATTTCAACGCATACCTATATTGTAACGCGATTGTTGTAGATTAGATTTCGTACTGTAGGTACGGGTCCGTATCTGTACTTGAAGGGGAGTTCTGGTGATTTTAAAAACTGCGGTAAAGTGACGTGTAAAAAAGCTGGTGATCACATCACATAAAGGACGTTAAGATAAAAACATTGAGTTAGAAAACTAATGGAGGGAATCAAATGCTTGGCCAGACGTAGACCACGGGAACCAAAAGTGGCCTCTAGCTGTGATTAAAGTACCACACCACTTCCGTTATCATTAGCGTCTCACTTCAGTGGCGTAGAGATATAATTTTCTTTCCACTAATAGGAATAATAACAAAAAAAACGTATAGAAGGAGTAAAATACATGATCGTGATAAAGTAAACAAAATAGACAAGGATGGGAAAGTATGCAGATTTAATATAATCATTGATTACAAATCTAAATATACATCGATGTGTTCCATTAGTACCTATAATTAAGGCCAGTTTACTAGGTATATCCACTACAACTTGACAACTCCCATTAAATTCACTGTGTTGATCAATAGCTACAATTGATTGGTTGGTCTCAGGTTCATTACAAGTTTTGATAGTACCTACTGCATATTTCCATATTTGACGAGATATTTGATGAACATTTTCCGGTGCAACCTTTGGTCGAAATCACAGTCAATGAAGCGTTGTGAGCACAAAAGTAAATTTCGAGAACTGTTCTTGAGATATATTTACAAATGTAATATTACCATTTTGCTCGAAGTACCGGTTCGTTTGGAAAACTAAGAAACATAAACTAGGTACCTACAACCTCGCCTACAACATGATAAATGACATGTCTTACCGATTAGTAGGGGAGCTAGCACGAAATCCACTGAACGAGAATGATCAAAATTTTAACTGATGGTGTTCCATTTTGCCCTATCAGAGTATGCTAAAATCGATCGTCTGCCGCCTCAGGTCATACGACTTAAGGCGCTGAGGGTACTTCTTGTGCTACCAATTCTGAAAGGTTGTTTTTCGAGAAAATAAGTTATACACCAAATGAAAACGTTGATAATAACTCTTAAAAAAATATTTAAAAAAATCGCGTACATTAATTCATAACTCCGTAAAGAAACAATTCTTAGTCGGTTTTTCACGAACTTTCTACGGATATAACTAGGTTACCGTTGGAAGAATGAAGCTGAATGATAGGTACAGCCAATGACTATGAGAGTGTTTCTTTTTTAAATTTTTTCTCTAATTATAAGATATCTTATAATGTTAAGATAATAAGATAATCTTGTAATTAGAGAAAAAATTTAAAAACGAAACACCGTTAAGTCATTAGTAGTACCTATCATCTCTGTAAAAAAAATCAGCTTCATTCGTTCAACCATAACCTAGTTATATTCGTAGAAAGTTCGTGAAAAACCGACTAAGAATTGTTTTTTTACGGAGTTATCAAATGTGCGCGATTTTTTTAAATATTTTTTTAAGAGCTATTATCAACGTTTTCATTTGGTGTATAACTTATTTTCTCGAAAAACAACCTTTCAGAATTGGTACCACAAGAAGTACCCGCAGCGCTTTAAGTCGTATGACCTGAGGCGGCAGACGATCGATTTTAGCATAGTTAAAATTTTGATCATTCTCGTTCAGTGGATTTCGTGTTAGCTCCCCTACTAGATGAAAGGAAATGCCCTGTTTCTTCCCTTTATGAGAAATTTTGCATGATACGCAGCTAATCATTACACTATGCGGCAGTTAGTTATTTATATAAACCAGAGCACAAACCGATCCGAAATTATTAAGTACGTACTTTAAAATGGCAAATTTAATAAAATTTGAATTTGGTGGAAAACTGACAGTGTCAGGACCCGCGTTTTCATATGTCAAATAATGTCGGCCAAAATGTACCTTCACGGGAACCTATCCACGCGAGTGGCCTCTATCTGTGGCAACTTCCGTCTACAAAAATTCTTACCCCCTCTACCATTATATTCCCTCCATTAGTTTTCTAACTCAATGGATAAAAATAATGTAGTGTGAATAGAACTTTACTTATACAATCCCAGACCAAATGGGCTTTATGCTTGCTTGCTTTCCTTATAAATTTCGCATATTTTCATTTTGTAGGTCCTCATCTATATTAAGTCTTGGTTTTTTACCTGGTAACTGTGGCTTAAAAAATCCGTCACCTTTAATTATCTTTTTTCAAAATACGAGGGACTCTTTCTCTCTCTATTCTTAATGCAGTTTTTATAAAGAAAGTTATCAAAACGCACAAAGTAAAAGCGTATGTACCACTTGCTTTGTGGTCAAGAGTGCATCTCAAAATAAATTAATTAATTTTGTTTAGACCAACACTTAACGAACGTTTAACCTTAAAGGTCTGTTTGATTTGATACAGTGACCAAAGTAGAAAGGTCAAGCAACGATAATGTCCTTTTGTTTTCCGCAACCCATTTGGTTAATGTTGTATATTGTAGAACACCTAAGGCCCGATGCACACGATACGTAATAAGTACTGACGTTCCTTTAGTCCAGTCAAATTAGCTCTAAAAGTAGTATAAACTGGATGTTGTCATTTCACTGAACGAAACCAAGCGTATTCTATGTAAAAAAATCCGCTGAATCGGAAAATCATAGTCTCCCCGGCCGAAAACGCCCGGAACATATTGTTATAAACAAAAAACGAAGAAAAAATGGGAAAATGTCGTGTTTTTTCACATTTGACTGCCAATATCTCGTTAACTATTGCCCAGGGAAAAAATGAATAGAAATGAACTTGTTTAGAATAAAATTTTCTATAAGATACAAATCCGGAATTACATTTTTCCATAAATAACAATAACAGTTGAAAATGAGCGTTCCGGACCAACTGTATCTTATAGAAAATTTTATTCTAAACTTTTCTTCGTTTTTTGTTTATAACAATATGTTCCGGGCGTTTCCGGCCAGGGGGACTATGATTTTCGGATTCAGCAATTTTTTTACATAGGATGCGCTTGGTGTCGTTGAGTGAAGTGACAACATCCAGCCCAAACCGCCATTTGACTGAACTACTTGTGTATTTCGCCATTACTCCCAACGTATTTCTGACGATCTTGACAGAAAACAATCTCGCCGTTCCGCGAATTACTTTGTAGCACGTGCACCGGGCCTAAACAACGATAAACGCGACGATAACCACGAACCCTCCAATCTCATTAAGAGAATCTTAGTATCTCGTCAAGTGAATAATATCGTCTGTGTTTATTAACAAAAATGCTGCTGTTTACAGCGTTCCTAATTTCCCTCAAGTGCCATGTGACTCTTAGTGATTTTGCTACAGTAGTGGACAGTGTAAAAAACGACGAACCGCTAATTCTAACACCTCTCATAAATGCTGGGAAGATAAAAGAAGCACAGGATGCATCTGAAGTGAAATTCAACGGGTTTAAAAACGTAGTAAGTTATTCAGGTTATTTCACTGTCAATGAAGAGTACAATTCGAACCTCTTCTTCTGGTTCTTTCCATCGCGAACGAGTTACGCGAACGATCCCGTTCTTTTATGGCTTCAAGGCGGACCTGGCTCGTCCTCGTTAATGGGTTTATTTTTAGAAAATGGCCCTTTTACTGTAAAATCTAAGCGGGGATTAAAATTCAGATCTGAAACATGGATACAAACCCATTCGGTCATCTACATCGACAATCCCGTCGGGACTGGCTTCAGTTTCACCAACGACGGTGGTTATCTTGAGAACGAAGTGGATATAGGCAAACAGCTATACGAAGCGCTGTTGCAGTTTTTCAAACTTTTTCCCAATTTACAAAAGAACGAGTTCTACATTAGTGGAGAGTCGTACGCCGGCAAGTATGTGCCGGCTATTTCTCACACCATTATGAAGCAAAATCCTGGCGCGAAACTGAAAATCAACTTGCAAGGATTAGCGATTGGGAATGGTTTGTGTGATCCGGAAAATCAGTTGGTGTATGGTGACTACATGTACCAGATTGGGCTGATAGATATTAATGGGAAGGCTACGATCGACAAAATGACACAAGACGCGGTGGATCTAATTCGCAAGAGACAATGGACGCAAGCATTGGACATATTTAACAAACTTTTCTTCGAGAAGCCACAAAGCGTGTTTAGTAATATGACAGGTTTCCATAATTTTTACAATTACCTTCAGGTGGACAAAATCAATCACGATTATATTGAAAAGTATTTGCATAGGCATGATGTAAGAGATGCAATTCATGTTGGAAATAGGACAATGAATTATAATCCAGTTGTAAGACATCACCTCCTTGCGGATTTCTTACAGTCCATTGCACCCCTCCTAACAGAATTGCTCGACAACTATAGGGTGCTCATTTATAGCGGACAGCTGGATGTTATTATACCATACCCATCAACTGTAAGCTTCCTACGAAAGTTGACCTTTAGGGAAGCTATGATGTACCAAACGGCACCCAGGTATCAGTGGCGTGTCGACAACGAGTTGGCGGGTTATGTTAAACAAGCAGGAAAATTGACGGAAGTTTTAGTACGTGATGCCGGCCATTTAGTTCCAGCGGATAAGCCTAAAATTGCACTGGACATGATCACAAGATTTACAAGAAATAAACCGTTCCATTCAACCATTAATAATTAGTATATAGCTATAAGCTTTATGATCTTTTCGATTTCATTTGTATGCCGATATTAAATTAGTGTTGAAACCAAAGACATAACGTGCTGTTTTTTATTCCTGGAATTTTTTCGTCATGCTCGTCAAAACGTAAATAAGATACGAGCGACATTTTGGTATGGTAACCTGCTGTGCATCCTACATCCAGTGGCTTGTTGAGTATTATATATACCAAAAGACTAAGCTGTTTCAATCCCTATGGTGCTCCTTGCCGTCAACTTTGCCTTGTTCTTGCACCTCTTTTGGTATCTATACATGTATTATTATTGTTAAAAATTGTGGCAGTGCTTCTAGGTTATTTCTGAAATTTTAATGCCACCTTTCTCTAATAAAACCAAATTAATCGCTTATACCAAACATGTAGGGGAAGGGGGCAGAGTTTAAAGTTGGAATGTCTCGAAAACGAAGTTTCGGTAGAGGGTGTTCATAAAGAGGAAATGTCATGTCCATGGGATCAGAGCTTCAACAGTGAATATTTCGAAAATGGAGTCTGGAAAGGATACTGTGGTGACGGCTGTGTGCACGTAAAGTAAATTCGACGAAGAAAGATTTGTATATCGCACACATCGCACATTTGCACGATATACCAGTCTTTCTTCGTCGAATTAAAAACATAACTTCTTTTCATTTACAATCCACAAACATTTAACAATAAATGTTGTTATACTCAAAGATATAACTCAAGATCAAGTTTCATGGATTGCATTAGTAAGAACCAATTTTGTAGCTCAATATCTGAACAAAGTAATCAGAACAAACTGTGGCCAAATTGCGCCTAATCTCTAAAAAGAGGTGCATAAAAGGACAAATTCGTGGTTTTCCAAAATTATTGGTTTCTACCACAGAATCGAGGCTTAGGTATTTGCTAGGGTATTTGTTTCTGAATAAATACTCACCAAATGCCAAATTGTGATCATCTATCTTTAATGCGTAAGTCTAAGCATAAACTAAGCACTACGCTCTCCTCTAAATTTCCACCATGCACCCCAGAACCAAAAGCAATTTGGTAGATAATACAAAAGTGTTCGCGTTTCTAATTCATCATGAATATATATTGTCCCTGAAACCGTGTTAAATTTTATTTGATTAGACAAACAGAGACAATGGTTTCGAGTATTCCGACACTTATTTGAGCGAACGCCTACTAAGTAATAATAATAATAATAATAATAATATTTTAATGCTATCGTGCAAAGCACTTACATGCGTGAAAAAACATATAGAACAATATACATAAGAAAACAAACGTATCAACAATTACATGACTAACTAAATACAGTTAACATTTCTAACGGACTGAACAAATTCTTCAAAAGAATAGAATACATTACGGGACAAATAGTTTTTTAAAGACACCTTAAGTTCCTTGACTCTAAGATTTCTAACATTTAAAGGGAGACAGTTGTAAAGAGACTGGCCCTGAAACAAAGTTCCATTTTGCGTAACTGACAATCTGCAGAATTTTGTATTCAGATTTAGTTTGTGTCTTGTGTTATAGTCATGTTTATCTGATTGCTGATTAAACATAGATATATTATTCTTAATATACAAAACTGCTTCCAATATAAATAATGAAGGAAACGTCAATATTCCAAGGTTTTTGAAAGCCTTGTGACAATCATCACGATAACCAAGCCCGGCGATGACTCGAACAGCTTTTCGTTGTAATTTAAACACCTTATGCCAAGAGCAGCAATGTCCCCAGGTCAATATTGCATAGCACAAGGTACTTTGTACTAATGCAAAATATGCTGCTTTAACAATATTACTAGAGACGTTGCTAACAAGTCGACGTAAGAGAAATATTAATTTACATAGTTTCTTAGCAACCAACTCACACTGAGGACCGAAACTTAAACGTGAATCAATAACACATCCTAAGAATTTAACATGCGGTACAGTAACGTAAGTACCTGAGTCCGATTTTTTTAAAGTAAAATTCATGAGGGCTGTTTTTGTAGTGTTCACTGACAATTTGTTTGCTAGGCACCAATCCTTAACTAAATTTAAACTATCATTAGATTTAGCAAAAGCTAACCTAGCATCACTCTCGCTGGAAATAAGCGTCGCGTCATCAGCATATAAGATGCAGGTTACATTAGATGGAAGACACAGAGGTAAATCGTTAACATATATAAGAAACAGCAAGGGACCAAGAATGGACCCCTGCGGTACTCCTCTTCTTAACGGTAAAACATCCGAACGTTGATTGTTAAAAGATACACACTGAAAACGATTACTTAAATAAGGCATTAACAAGTTGGCGCTATTATAACTAAAATTATAAATGCATCTGAGTTTACTAATTAAAATATCATACGCGACACAATCGAAAGCTTTTGAAAGATCTATAAATGTTGCTACAGTGTTCAAACGTCTTTCAAAGCCTTCCAGTATAACTCCCGTAAAGTCTATAATTGCTTTAGCCGTACCCCGTCCTTTCCGGAAGCCGTACTGCTTATCGTAGAACAAATCATTTTTTTCGAAATAATCTAAGCTGATCGTATAGAATTATTTCAATGACTTTTGAGAAAACCGGAAGGATAGACACGGGCCTAAATTCGGTAATATCACTCGCACCAGGTCTTTTTGGAATTGGAATAACCAATGAAGTTCTTAATTCTTCGGGAAAAACCCCCGACGAAATAATAGAATTAATAACAAAAGTAAGAGGCGGTACCAGTAAACTCATGTTACTTTTTATAAATTTTGCGTTTAGTTCGTAAATGTCTCTACATGTTCCCGTTTTTAGTTTTCTCAAAGAATGCCTAACTGTAATTTGAGAAACCTGCACAAACTCAAAATGCAAGGCTTGATCTATTTGAGTACAATAGTGAAGTGGATCTATGTCCCTTCCAGGATCATTATCATCAGTACTATTAGCAGTGTTCGAAAAGTATACACTAAATTCATCAGCAGTTAGTGTTGATTGAATGTGGGTATTTGAGTTCGTATGAGCGTTTATGATTTTCCACATTACGCGAGTTGAATTGTTCGAACCACGAATTAACTTATTGTTCGCTTCGGTTTTAGCCGCTTGGATCTCCTTTTTATATTGACTATACAGATACTTCTTAATTTGATACAAGTTAGGGAAACGGTATGTCTTGTACAGCTTGGTAAACAGATGAAGTTTATCTCTTAGGCATTTAAGTCTCTCGGTAAACCAGCTTACATTATGATCGCAAGGCCTACTGTTCACTACGCGAGTCGGAAAACACACTAGAAAGGTCTTATAAAATTCTTTAAAAAAAATGGAAAAAGAGGGACTTCCGCACTTTTCGTTTGTTAATAAACACTTCCAGTCATATATACAAAACTTCGAAAAAAATTCACAACACCCTACCTCCGTTAAAGGGCGATGGATTGTAGTTTGATACTGTTTAATGTACGGTGATTGCGTACCTCGCACTTCGATTACTTGACCCATATGGTCTGAAAAGTCACAATCAATAGTTCCAGATGCAAAACTATTGGTTGAAAAATTAATAAATATATTGTCTATGCAGTTATGATTACGAGTAGGTGTAAACACTGTTTGTATAAACAGTACCCACTCTACAACGAAATTAAAGGACCCGAACCGCCCGCTCAGCATCCCGGACTTTCTGTCTGTCTGTTTTGGGTCAGCTTTTATTGGTTTTGTGTACCATTTCATGTTAGCGTAAGTGTGAACCGTATGTGGTGAGGAAACTCACTTTCTTGCTGTTCACACCGCAATTTAAGGCTCATTTCTGGTCTCAACTTGCAGTAAACTATTACAACTAGGTACTCTAAATTTCTATGAAATACTCAAATTTATAACAACACTCTTACCCAAGCTGCTGGAAATCTTGCACCATATTCCACTCAAACGTCATCTTACTGCTCCAGTGAGCCAACCTAAACTTTTTGATACCTACATGGAAGTACGGTACCTACATAAATAAGGTATCAAATTTTCTAGAGACAGCAAACTCGAAACTTGTTCGTGGATAGGGTCAAACGTATGGCTAGAGCTGGAGGGGGGGGGGGTCAAATGACCTTATTAACAAGTTCATGATTTTGGAATTTACTGAACGAAATCAAAGTCAGAATTCAAGGCTCTGCGGAAAAGGTGGACGTGTATTTTGCAATTCTTCAGAGGTTTTCTCCCTACTTTCTAGTCCTTCTCTTGAAAGCGACTCACTCCGTTTTTAGTTAGGACCAAAGTTACCATCGACGCGTTGTTGACGGAATGTCGAAGATACGATGCGATCTAAATCTTAATTAATTTATCGTTGCACGAACCGAGATTTAGTAATTCGGGTACACCACAACGGATACCGGAACGACTTTCTTTGATGTTGCCGATAAGAATCTCCGTATTGAAACTGTCAACGCTTAGATCATCATCGAACGGAATGTCCAGAGCCGCTGCAACTTTTCTGTTTTAAATGTGGGACCACAGGTTGTACTATACGTTATTATAGATTTTGTTCGGGAAACGGTCCGAGGGGGACTTCATAAGTCGTCGGGAGCTCTCTGATGGTCAATTTACTCAGACGACGTCGTTTCATTATGTCTCGACTAAAATTTCTCACTGCAACATGTAGATACGCCAAGATTTGAGAGTTTATGTTTAAGTGCACATATTTGATTCGCGCTCGTCGAAAACTGTTATTATTGAAACCTTGTTTTTTATTTTTTATTTTTTTATTTTATTATCCCTCTCTTGTTTTGGGCCCTCAACAGGCATACGCCCAATTACAGAGTGACCCGCATAATGCTATTTAGAGGTGCCTCTGCAGAAGGTCTTAAGATGGTCTATACTACTCCGGTATTTACCTTACGAATTAGGAAAACTGCAGGAAAACCTAATTCGGAGTAGCCGGTAGAATGCTCGGAACTGGCCTAAGGTAATTTCCATCTCCGCCACAGATGAAAAATTCACCTCAACCCAGGTTCGAACACCCGACCTTCGGATTTATAACCCAATGCTCTTACCACTGAGCCATAAATCCGTAAATTCCAAATTACAACATTTACGTTACGTTTTATTAATTAACCTGCGTCATGTGATTATTGCCGATGGTGGTACCATAATTTTTACGGGTTATGTGACCACGCCCATTACTCTAAAAAACCGAACTGTAAGTATTAATGTATTGGTCGTACCTACTTAATTTAATATTAGGCATCTATTTCTGGGGTTTGCTTCAAAGAACGATGGGACATATAGATTGATTACTTACCGTAAGTTGAAGTTAGTCACATTAAAGGATGATTTTCCCATACCTTACGTTTCCCCATTATAAGACGTGCGTTGCCTCAACTCCATCGATATCAAGTCCGCATATTGGCAAGTTAGAAGGGCATCATTTTCGAGACCATATACTGCTTTCACTGTGCCCGGACGGGGCTTATACCAATTCTTCAGAGTGCCTTTTGGGCAGACGAATACACCGGCAACCTGGCAGCGTCTCATCGAAAAAATTGTGGGATCAGAATTACAACCAAATATGGGACGCGATCGTCCTCTCTTCTGATCTCTTCAGTTTTTAGCTGAAAAATCATAAAAGTAAACTAAATCCCCTACAATTTTAGTTCAACCACAGTTTTTTTTGGTGCAGTACTTCCCAAGATACAGCCATCCAAAAACTTGCAAGTAGAAAATTTAAGTTTTGAGTCTCTGTTAGTCAAAGCATTGGTTTAAATAGTAATTTTATGGGTAGCCAGTGTTAACGCAAATATTTGACCAAACCGAAGCACGTAAAGCCATACTTTTAATGTTATCTTAAAAAACGAAACATTTTCAACATTAATACCATTCGGTCTGTCCATCGAGCAATAATATTGTTTGATATTCCTCACACCTGTGTCAAACCACCCTGACTCTAGCCCTCCCTCTGTAAGCAAGCGGACTCTTTGGGGGCCCATTCTTTGTTCCAGCCCTCTCATCTCCTAGAGGTGGAGACGACACCCTTCCAAAGCTGCACCCAGACTTTTTGAAACGTTGATCAATTCACTCGTACGGATTTTCGCCGGTTACCTTGTACAGGCTGTAAAACGAAGGGCAAGTAGAAGGCAGGAATTTATTTAATAATTAATCTCACTGGCTGAAAGCATATGAGAAGGTGCGTTCAACCAGATTCATTTGTGTTCATTACATTACATATAATCGTAAATAAATAAATTTTAAGTGGAGAATGTGGATTCTCGGTCCAGGCCACTGGTTAGAGTGTGTGCCAGTTCGATTCTTGTAGTTTTGCTAGAAAAATTATGCACCATTTAGTCTGAGACACTTCCCACAATCGTTGGCAAATACTCGGCAAGAACAAATGTGGGAGCCTTTGCTTCACACAATTTACACTAATATGTACACTGTCGTCCATAGTTCAGAAGTGCGTTATTTGTTATTTTGCGGACGGTCATCTTCATTTTGTTCTACACACAGGGAATGATTTCGAGTAAATCGAGTAATTAAGTGTAACATTCTTTTAGGTTGGTAGGTAGGTACCATATGACCTGCATTACGTACTAACACTTCAGTCAAGTTACCCGCACATTTAGCATAACCTGCCAGCATATCTTCGACTATCCATTTGCTTCTGGAAACGGAACCATACAACTTCGAGCTGCTGAAATTCAACTTATTTAAGTAGTTGATTGTGCCAGTATAAGGCACAATAATGTCTAGCTGCCCATTATAAACCAAAACACGGTACGAATTTAACAATTCAGATATCCAAACGGCGACTGACTGCATAATGTCAGGGATTAAGTAGCGAACAACCATTTGTCCCTTAAAGACATGATCAACCGGAACATGTAGCGCTGACATTAGATCGTCCCGCAAAATATATATTAACGCTTCAATATTATGCGTAGGGCTTTCGTCCAGCAAACTATTTGTGTCATTGTAACCGGTCAACTTTGAAAATAGAGTATCGGTATCATTTCCATTGTAAATCAAATCGCTAAAACTGAAATAGGCCTCCTCCCACTTCTCCAAATGGATAAGATCGATTATCTTCTGTTCTTGAGCTTCCATCTTCTTCTTATCGTTCATGTCGATTAAACCTGTTTGGTATAAATAGTCGCTGTATTTGATTTGATTCACTGGATCGCTGAATCCGTTACCGATTCCTAAGCCTTGCAAGTTGATCTTCAGTTTAGCAACAGGATTTTTCTTATGGATGGCGTAGGATATCGCAGGTACGTATTTGCCTCCATAAGATTCACCGAACACATAAAATGGATTCCTTTGAATTTCCGGAAAGAGTTGAAAAAACTGAATTAGTGCAGTGTAAAGGTGATCGCCGACAACGGTCTGATTTCTGGCGTAAGTTTCGGGATCAGTGAAACTATATCCGGTACCCACTGGATTATCCATGTAAATGACGGAATGGTTCGTGGTCCATCTGTGTTTTCTTAATTCTAGTGTTAGATCGGGCTGAACTGTAAATGGACCGTGTTCCAAAAACACCCCGACCATAGTAGAGGTACCTGGCCCTCCTTGCAGCCATAAAATGACGGGCGCGTATTCGTAATCAACCTCTGCGGGAAAAAACCAAAAGAATAAGTTTGAGTTAAAGTTTTCATTTACGGTCAAATACCCTGAGTAACTTTTAACATTTTTGAAATCTTCAAACTTCACTTCCGCTCTCAGTCTTGCTTCTTTCACATTTCCCTTGCTTATGAGAGGAGTAAGTATGAGTGGTGCACAATCCTCTAGGCTGTTATCGCAGGTTGAATTTTCACCCGAAGAGAAGCAGATCATGCAAAGAACCCCGATAATTAAGGTTGTTAAACCCATTTCACACGTACGAATGTTTGTCCGAAACCCAAACTGACAAATAGGTTACTTGTATAATGTAAGAAACGTGTGATAGCTTATCACGCGTGATAACCCCTAATGAAATTTGTTGATTAAAGAACATCAATCTAATGCGACTATTTTGAAAATGCACTATTTTTTCAGAAGGAACGCACTTCGCCAATTTACAAAAATGTTGACTGTATATTGTAGGTAACCAGCCAAACGTGAGAAAATCTTCTGGAATGCCAGTTCAAGGGATTTCCGTTGTGCTTACTAAAAACGTTACCCGTACTCTCCTGCCTCCCATTTCACCGTCTATAAAATTCTAGTAATTTGTTCTAGGGATTTTAACCAAATGTGAATTAGAATCGGCACTACATTAACTTAGTTACTTTTCTAGGGATTTTATTTTAGTACCATTTAGAATATCTGCAGAATCTGATAGACTAGAAGAGTCTAAAGAATTCAAAAGAACCGACGAAACTGAAAAATGGAAAAAATAAGAAGATTAAAGAAGGCCACGTGTCTAAAAGCGCACAATGAGAAGAATTCGGTGAAATGAAAGATTTTGGATAATCCAAACAATCTCAGATCTAATGTAGGTATCTATCTAATCCAGGCGTCAGAGACTGAAAAGCTTTGAATAGACACAAAAATTCCTATTTTTTTCGTATATGTCTAGAGAAATAAATATTAAAAATGCACACCTAAATCGATCGGCAACATATTGTTTAAACAAATAAAAGATACGATGTTAGTGATTTTCCTAAATATCTTCAAAAATATTGATTTTAGGCCAAAAATTGTATAATACAAAAATATTTCTCGTAAAATTTTACATGAAAATGGTCCTTACATTATATTCGATAAAACTAATATTTCTGAAGATATAGCCGTCCAAAGATGCGTACCGTAGTTTAGTATTGACCACGCTTTAGTTCTCTTACGCGGCGTTGCCACTAACAATTTGAACAACTGCTAGAAATACATCGAGAAATATGCAAGTATTCCATTCTGTATACCTGAACCCACCTCGAGATCCTTTCCGGTCAGAGCAGGACCTATACGAACCGAAAGAGGACGTGTTTAGACTCATTACTAGGGATGGCAATAAATATTGAATAATCGATTAATCGGACATTTGATAAACGAATAATACTAATCGATTTTCGATTAAAATTGACAGAAATTAATCGATTAATTGGTCGTTCAAGACGCTGGAGAAACTGGAAAACCGGAGCGCCAGCAGTGCCAATGTAGCTACAAATCCCAGACCAACTCGTATACGCAAAAGAAGAAAAGACTCGTCAATAGGAACTGAATTCATGTAAAAATTATTTCAAATACACCATTGTTAAAAGTTAAAATAAAATTATTCCAACTCTGTACCTCAGAGGTAAGCTGTACTAAGTCCATTTTTCACACATATAGTCACATAAGTTTTGTTGTTCTACACGAAATTTATGGATTTAGTATTTTTTGATGATAAACAACAGAGTTAGCGAATTTTAAACAGTACTAAGTCGCAGTAACATTGCGAGGTAAACTGTAATAAGTGGACTTAGTATCAATAGTTGTATTGTTTTGATGGACATGGAAAAATGTGCTATTGTTTGCGTTTTGTCCGTCTGTCCGTCCGTCCGGACCCACTTCTGCCGTTTTGAACTACTTCTAGAGTCCAGGAATTTTTGCAGTAGGTAGCCATATACCTTAAAGGTGTTCCAAATGGCCATCAAATTTCGCTGTCTTAAAGCCCCCCCTCCCCCCCTCAATTATTTCCTGAGATGGGAGTGACTGGTTTCATCCTTCATGGTGCCCTAAGAGAGCGAATATCTCGAAAACGGTTTGTCGGAGGACGTAAGGTCAAATTATTCCTTTGTGCTTCTTATAATGTGGTTTTCTGTAAACTTTTGAATTTGTCACTTAGTATACTTTACCTCTGAGGTACAGAACTGATTTTGTACTTCAAATCACTTCCATACCATATTTTCGTGTCAACAGGTTCTTTGTATATTGTTCTAGCAGAAAAATTAAAATTACAATGATTACATTATAATTTTGAGCAGAAATAGGTATCACTTAATTATATCATTTTATCTCAACCTACTGGTGCTTTCTATGCCGACGTGATGCGCAGTTGGTAGAGTGAGGCGCGCTACTTTACAGGTCTGTATCTTCAAAAATATTAGAAAATAATGTAAGTAACATATATAAAATTTTATGGGGATTATTTTTGTATTCCTTAGTTTTTATCCTAAAATCGATATTTTAGAATATATTTTAAAAAAACGTGAAAATCGTACTTTTTATTTGTTTAAACAACACGTTGCCGACCGATTTCAGGTGTGCATTTTCAATATCTGTTACTTTAGACCTATAAGAAGCAATAGAAAGAGAAAAAGCTTCAATAGGAATTGTTGTGTCTTAAAAACCTCTGACGCCTGTATTAATCTGAAGAATCTGGATATCGAACGAATCTGAAATAATTGAAAAAACCTGGAAATTTCGTAGCATTCGCAGAGTACCTACCTGAACATAGTAAGGATCAGAATCCACACTAAAAGGACCCCAAGCGTATTAAGTCAGGAGAATCGGAAAAATTAGAAGAAACGAAAGTTTAAGCTGAAAATTCGGATGATTAGGAAGGTTCTGATAGATATGAGAAAACCACCCCTGTTAAAGATTTTAGAAATTTGAAAAATCCCAAGAATTACAAAACCAGAAAATAGAAAAATAAGTATGTTTGAAGAATTTGAAGAAACTTAAAAAATTGGAAGAGGTCTAATAAGCAACGGGAGGGCCCAAGGCGTTTTGAAGAACTATTAATTTTGAAACATTTTGAAAGATACAGGTAAGCAATTTTATATTCTGAAGAAGCGGATATAGTGGACTCAGTGAGAAGGATTCGAAGGGCCAAAATCCAAAGAAACCAGAACCGAAAAATTGTAATGTTAATAATAAAAGTTTTCCACATGCTGCGAACTTAAATGGACACGCTGTATATATCAAATTGGCGCCAATTTGTTGGTCATAAAGGCCACTTAAAACCTCTATATGATATTTCAAGGCTAGATCTATTTTTATAATATTTAAGGAGGTCGCTGCGTTGTAAGGTTGTTACGTAAATTCTTGTAAAAAAAGTCTCGCTTGCGTGATTACATGATAAATCGAGGATTATCAACAGCTAATAGTTTTAATCGACGCAATAATCCTAAAAGGGCAAAATAGTGAGAATAAGTGCGCACATTTAACTCGACCATTACTTAGAACGTATCTTACTTACGTACCCACCCCAAGTTCGCAAAAAATACGTACGATGCGCCATAATAATTGATTGCAATTGTAACGTTATAAATCGCTGCCATGCGCAAATATTTCATCTAGCAGACCAGTTCTCAGTATCTGTCATTGATTTTGTTAGTGTAGACGTCGCGGTTTTAGTTGCAATTCTTTATAACGGTAACCGTTACAATGTGCAAATCACTTTGTGTCACTTTGTTACTGTTAACGTGTATTTTACAAACGCATAGTATTACGAATATGTACCCTAAAATAGAGTCAGAGTTATATCGAGGGGGCAGCGGTGAACCCTTAATATTGACGCCGTTAATAAAACAAGGGAGAATTAAAGAAGCTCAACATGCTGCCAGTGTATCTCTTAACGACGTCAAACAAGTAAAGAGTTACGCGGCGTACCTGACGGTAAACGAACAATTTAATTCTAATTTATTCTTCTGGTTCTTCCCCTCACAATTAAATTACGCCAACGACCCTGTAATTCTTTGGCTTCAAGGGGGCCCCGGTGCGACTTCCTTGATAGGCCTTTTTACGGAAAATGGGCCATTTATTGTAACACCACAGCAAACGCTCACTCCCAGAAAATATTCGTGGACTTACGGGCATTCGGTCATCTACATCGACAATCCCGTTGGAACTGGCTACAGTTTTACAGACGATGGAGGTTACTCACAAAATGAAACCGTGATCGGCGAAAATGTGTACAGGGCATTACTGCAATTTTTCCAACTATTCCCCGAAATCCAACGCAACCCCTTCTTCATAACTGGCGAGTCTTACGCCGGAAAATACGTGCCCGCTGTTTCGTACACCATTCACAAAAAAAATCCCACCGCTACACAAAAAATCAATTTGCAAGGATTGAGTATAGGAAACGGATTAAGCGACCCCATAAATCAATTAAGATATGGAGACTACCTATACCAGATCGGCCTGGTCGATACAAACGTGAGGAAACACATGCTGAACATGGAAATCAAGGGAATTAAGTATATTCAACACGAAGACTATGCAAATGCATTCAGAGTGTTTGATGACCTGCTCAACGGCGATCTAAATAACCACACTTCGCTTTTCAAAAATGTGACCGGTTTTGACAACTATTTCAACTATTTATTCGCCGAAAATGACGACAGCAGCTACATGGGCAAATTTATTCAACGAAGCGATATCCGATCGGCAATACACGTCGGTGGCGCCAAGTTTAATGGGCAAAACGAACTGGTAGAACAAAATTTGATAACGGATATTATGAGATCTGTTAGAGACTGGGTGTCTGAGCTTCTCTCCCATTATAGAGTTTTAATTTATAATGGACAGTTGGACATTGTTGTGGCGTATCCGCTAACTGTCAATTATTTGAAGAATCTTAATTATAGTGCCGCAAGAGAATATAAAACCGCAGCAAGGTATCAGTGGCGAATGGGCAAGGAAATTGCTGGTTATGTGAAGGTTGCTGGGAATTTAACTGAAATAATGGTCAGAAACGCTGGCCATATGGTTCCGAAAGATCAGCCCAAATGGGCGTTAGATTTAATTACTAGATTTACCCGTAATAAACCATACCATAATGAATTATGAATAAATTAAACAATTTTCTTGCGTAATTATAATGTATTTTCTAGTTTCTTTTGTAGTTGATGGCCTTCCTATTCTACTAAAAACGGTACCTATAATAAATAAGCCTAAACCTAAATAAGGTATACATTCTCAAACATTCTCTAAAATTTAAATTACCTATAGGTACCTACAGGTATCAATTTTTTCTTCGACGTTAACGACGAGAAAATAGTCACCAAAGATGGGCGAAATACGTTAACACATTAATCGTTTATTAACGATGTTAACATAATGCTTTAACGCTATTCTTGACTCTCGTTAAACGTAAAAGTTCCGTTATGAGTGAGAGCAGCGTGGTTTAATGGTACCTGTAATAATTGCTTCGTGTTTACACTGTAAAGTGCTACCTACATATAAACACATAGAGCGTTTAAAAAAAGCGACAGAGCGCCTCGGTGTGACCCCACGGAGTCATTGGATTTGACCCATTTTCAATTGGCTTGTTACATGTGGTATAACATCAGGGTGACAATTTGAAAACTTACCACCCCCCATATCTTAGTAAATAAACGAGATATTTAAAAAAATCAAAATCCGTTTCGGTAATTCGGAGGGGGAATCACAATGACATAGTTGGCGACGCACCCCCTCCAACCCCCTGCGCCCCAGCCACCCCAACTTTTAAATCTTAAATAGTGACCCCCCATGTGTGATACGTCGTTGGAAAGCTCTGAAAAAAATGCTTTCCAACCATACCAAATAGCATTACATTTAGGTTAGTAATTATCGTGCAAATCAAAAAATAAACTAATATGATACATTTGAAATCTGTCGTATTTAAAACGCAACCGGCAACATAGACGAACTAAGACAGAGAATAATTCAAGAATATCGAAATATTGTAAAACCAACATTTGAAAAAGTTCGACAATAGTTTGAGAATAGATAACTGGCGATCAAAAATGAGTTGCTGTCGAGTCGGCTTTGGAAGTTCAAGTTAAATACGATTTTCCATGTAAACAAAAATTTCAAAGGGCGACTCGACAGCAACTCATTTTTGATCGCATAGTAATACTGTCTTACCAAGAACGGAAACCATTTTGAACATTTATTGAAATAAAAGCCAACTTTAGAAAATGTATCATATTAGTTTATTTTTTGATTTGCACGATAATTACTAACCTAAATGTAATGCTATTTGGTATGGTTGGAAAGCATTTTTCAGAGCTTTCCAACGACGTATCACACATGGGGGGTCACTATTTAAGATTTAAAAGTTGGGGTGGCTAGGGCGCAGGGGGTGTGAGGGGGTGCGTCGCCAACTATGTAATTGTGATTCCCCCTCCGAATTACCGAAACGGATTTTGATTTTTTTAAATATCTTGTTTATTTACTAAGATATGGGGGGTGGTAAGTTTTCAAATTGTCACCCTGTATATATGTATGTTAACTGTGCAAAGTTTGAACCGAACAGGTTCCAGCGTTTGCCAGAGGCAGAGAGGCGTGACCCTACGGGGTCATTAGATTTGACCCATTTTTAATAAACATATAGGGGCATATAAGTCTACTGTGCAAAGTTTCAACCGAATACAGGTTCAAGCGTTTGGCAGGGACAGAGAAGCGTAACCCCAATGTGTCATTGGATTTGACCCATTTTCAATAGGTAGGTACCTAAATATTATATTCTGCACGGCAAGAAAGTAAAGGCATACATTGCCTATACTTACGTTTATTGTATGTATAGTACGCAAAGGCACGGATGCGAGTCTTGGACGTGTGTTTGTGCGCATGTGCGGAGCCTTAAAAGTATATTTTTCAGTCCTAGGTATTAAAAGTAACTTTTACGGACTTTGCACATGTGTAGGTAGGTACATGACTTCATTAAGTCCACAAACGTAAAAATGCCTACTTTGACCCCACAAACACGCGTCTAAAACGCGCATCCAATGCCTGTGGTGTATAAATTTTTTGTGCAAAACGCTGCGGCCCCCTTTTGTTTGCGGCCTGGCCTAGTGGTAAATCCGGCACTGTAGCCAACAAGCGCCACACATCCATATTATAAACATTGTATTACAATGTTATAAGCACAGATTTAAATATACTATACCTATAAATCCAAATTATCATATTTTAGGTATTTATTATTATTATCACTCTCTTTTCTGGGCCCCCAACAGGCTTGCGCCCAATTACAGAGTGACCCGCATAATGCAAATTGTTGGTATCTAGTGGTTGCTAAGGGTTTTGAAGATATATTTTTAAGCGCGAATTAATTGTTTAATAAATCGCAAATCATATAACTCGAGTTAAATTAACCTTGTGAAATATGATTTCAATCAAGTTCCAAAGGTATTTTCGAATAAGGATAGTTTTTTTACCCATAAAAACAAAAAGTCAAAGGATCGAAAGGTCAAGTGGCAATAGAGGGCAGGTTTTCCTTATAAAAACGAAAATAACTTGAATATCAAGCTTTAGGTACTAAAAGCCACAAAATTACACACAAAAGCCAAAAATGCCAAAGACGCTAGCTTCTTCTGGTATTTTGGGTAGTGGTGCAACTTCTTTTACACAGATGCAGCTTTAAAAGTAAACCCTAACTAATACAAATTTAGAAGAAAAATAGTTACAAAAGCTGAAACCATTATGACAAAACACAAACCTATAATAAACACTATTTAATTGTCTAACAAATTTATATACAGTTCTTTTAATTTATATTACTCAACTCCTTGGATAAATTTCGACAAAAAATCTTTGGGTTTCGGTTCCCAAGTTTCATGAAAATAGTCCATTACATGGCTTTTTTGCTTCCAAATGTTCACACATTCTTTCAGCTCCATTTGTCCCTAAAAGATAACACACCATTAGAGAAATTCGAGAACATGTAGATAATCATAGGTTTAATTAAAACACGGAAAATTACTTCTATTAGATTGTGCCCGTACAACACACCTTATTTTTACAGAGCTTAAAGTGTAAACTGAAATACACTGTTTTTAAAGCATTAGGAAAGTAGAGAAATTAAAGGTAATACAGACACGAATCGGAAATCTCTGCACATACCTTAACTATCAACATATCAATAACACGAACGTCAGTTAAATTTTCGTGCTTTATAAATTCATCGCGAAGTTTTTGCTTGCACTCCTCCACAGATTTCGGTATATCATATTTTCGAACTGCAAAAATTGGAATGAGAATTACGTAAAATTAAGGTTATGTTACCTATGTAGGGTATTTGTTTACACCAAGCTTTGTATAAATTAATCGCTCGCTTTCTGGCTTCTTCATTATCAACGGACAAGATTGGCTTCACTTTCCGAGGAATTAATCTTGCTGCATTTGCTGCCATTTCAAATGCAAAAATTTTACGTTCCTTGTTTTCTATTTTAATTGCCAAAATAACCGTCGTCGTCGCTAATGGCGCTAATGCTGCATGAGGAAGTGGCAAAATGACGGGCACTATTTTGCAGAAATAGCACAGTATTATACACAGTGATGGAATTTTTTAGACGGACGGTGCGGTGCACGTGATTGTGCACGCATTGGCATAGTTTGCTCAATAATTTCGGTTTGCTTGAAAATGAGGAAGGCAGGGAGATGCTGAGGGCCTGAGGCTAGCTAGAATAATTATGGTGTACAATCCTTATTTAATCCTATAGAATCTCATACTGTGTAAGTGGGTTGTAGTTGGTACTTGGTACTGGTTTGCTTTCTCTGCAGTGAACGCTACCGCTGTGTTAGCGCACCTGCATCGTAAGAACATACAGTCCCCGCCTCCGCGAGATACATCCAGGCGTGCATCGATAATATTATTTCAGAATTTTGTCAAATTAACAAGCAATTTGGTGCCATCCGCCTTTATCTATAAACACACGGCGCCAGTGCATAGATTAGACTTCATACACCGGGACACTTTAGGTCATCACAAAATACGAGTACATCGTGACCGGAATTCCCTGTGAATTCGAGTCTAAATGTATTCGCCATTTAAAATAGCACTAGAGGCGCTGATGTAATTTACAAAATGTAGTTGCACAGCCGTCTATAATTACAAGCCATGCTGAGAAGTTTGGCAACGTTGTTCGAAAGTCAATCGGTGGGCCGATTTAGTTTTAACGGCGTCTTGTTGCTCTTGAAAAATGGCATTTTCCTCTCTCCTGTGTTTCTCCTTGGCGGTTTTAATATAGAAGAAAGATACTTAGGCAGCTTACAATTGTGCATATATATTATTTATTTACAAAAATGGATAATAACATTTTTATTTGACTTTAAAATTCGGAACGCTGTAAATTGGTAACTGCATCATAATGTGTTTTCCCTCGAGATCTCCGAAATTGGTGAACTTCTGTCGAAACAGGTCGAGGTGAAGCACACGCTTGAGCACTTAATTTCGGTAAAAGGACAGTAAATCGCTGTGCATCAGCGAGGTTTTATCAACGACCAGGTGTGATTCGGAATGGCAGACTTTAAGCCAGCCGCTACTCCAGTGGGTGTAGGTACGAAGCTTTTAAAGAGGGGAGCCCTGTAGACTTCAAATTCCCGTACCATGAACTCTTGGGAATAAGTTGAAAGGTTCCTTCAGAAAATCGATTTGACATGTCTGTGCTAGAATACCTAAAATACAAACTAATTGTATTTTTTCATGATAAACACTTACCGTACTTACGTACCACGAAGCGTGTAGGTCATATTTGAGCTTGTACAGGTACTTTGAACAAATACAAGTGCTTCTAAAGGGTCCAGTAACGAGTAGCCTGCTTTAGAGGTTATGAAAACAAATCGATATATTTCGTTTAGCAACTTACCTGAATAATAACTTCTGTTCATTCCGTACGGAGTAACACAAATTGTCGGAATCTCGCTCTGTTAAAACAGGTAAATTGGAATATTACACCCAAAACACATATAAAATACACACAAAATCTGTCAAGTTGAATTGCGAAATCGGCCTACCATGCAGTGTTGCCATAATTCTCAGCACGGCTTGTAATTATAGACGGCTGTGGTAGTTGTGAGCGCTTTGAAGGCTGTGTATTAAGTGAAAGTGTACCATCATTTTTAAAGTGAATTGAGTTTATCCTAACTCGTTGATTTTATCTATCCTACTTGAAAGCCCTTTTTCTTACGAACTCGAGGTCGAAGCTGATGTCTTGAATTAGCTTGATTAATTTCATTTTCTAATTACAAATAAAGACAAGAATTTATCATTCAATTTCTAGAGCACTATGTGTGCCTTTACAACAACTCGCATTACTTTACGTCGATAACTGTTAAGTTGGTAATCTTTACTTAGCGCACCCGCTAACAGACTTGCGCAGTGAGTATGCGCTGTATACTAGTTGTGGTTGTCGATATACAATAAATGTATGTGTCGTAGTGTTCTGATTCTGACCTTTTTCTCTTTACTTTCTCCCGCCGCTGTGCAAATATCAACAATAACGCTTTAATTAATGGACAGTGTCTGTGTCATAATTACACACTTACGACAAACAATGTTTTTCGATGTTTCGGGCTTTAATAAATAATGACGATTAAATTTTTTTTACTATTTGTGGCATAATTGCACAGAATGCACATCCTTGAATGTGGTATGCTTAGATATGCCGCTTTCACGTGTCGGCATATGAAATCAATGTGAGAGAAAAAGGCGCTGGGCGTAAGAGCTTGTCCAGAAGGAACGAATTCACCGAGATTCTCTTGCGCGTGTTACGCGCGTACCTATTGCGTCCAGAAGGAGCGTAAAAACGCACGAACATTTGGGAATGCAAGTATACTGTCAGTAGAAAATATGGGGTTGAACGAAGCCTTCGCTGTGAATTTCGCGCGTATATACAGGGTGACAATTTGAAAACTTACCACCCCCCATATCTTAGTAAATAAACGAGATATTTAAAAAAATCAAAATCCGTTTCGGTAATTCGGAGGGGGAATCACAATGACATAGTTGGCGACGCACCCCCTCCAACCCCCTGCGCCCCAGCCACCCCAACTTTTAAATCTTAAATAGTGACCCCCCATGTGTGATACGTCGTTGGAAAGCTCTGAAAAAATGCTTTCCAACCATACCAAATAGCATTACATTTAGGTTAGTAATTATCGTGCAAATCAAAAAATAAACATGGAAAATCGTATTTAACTTGAACTTCCAAAGCCGACTCGACAGCAACTCATTTTTGATCGCCAGTTATAATCTATTCTCAAACTCTTGTCGAACCTTTTCAAATGTTGGTTTTGCAATATTTCGACATTCTTGAATTATTCTCTGTCTTAGTTCGTCTATGTTCGCCGGTTGCGTTTTAAATACGACAGATTTCAAATGTATCATATTAGTTTATTTTTTGATTTGCACGATAATTACTAACCTAAATGTAATGCTATTTGGTATGGTTGGAAAGCATTTTTTCAGAGCTTTCCAACGACGTATCACACATGGGGGGTCACTATTTAAGATTTAAAAGTTGGGGTGGCTGGGGCGCAGGGGGTTGGAGGGGGTGCGTCGCCAACTATGTCATTGTGATTCCCCCACCGAATTACCGAAACGGATTTTGATTTTTTTAAATATCTCGTTTATTTACTAAGATATGGGGGGTGGTAAGTTTTCAAATTGTCACCCTGTATAGTTGACTTTGCTTGTGGACCCGATGTATTGGCGCCTAGTATCTTGTTAACGCGCGTATATAATTTGCGCGAAACGATTCGCGGCTAATTCGTTCCTTTTGGACAAGGTCGCCCTTTAAGCGAACGTTGTTAATTGTAGCGTAATTACTCTGATTGCAGCTGAAGTTTTTCAAAGCGGAGCGTATGTCAACAGAATGATGTATTCCTATTTTTTTGTGTATTTGCACTGTTCACAATTAAAGACTGGAAAAGTTATGCGTTAAACTTGAGGTTACACGATGTTTTCTTTAATTCTCCTTATCCTTCACTGTCGTCTTAAATGAAATCTACCACATCACTTTCCAGCGACAGCTACTCATTCGTGGTTGCGTAATTGAAGTGTAAATAAAGAAACGCTACCTCAATGGTGTCTTCTCCCAGCTGTATTTATTGCAATGTGCTGCCACCAGAGGGTTCACTGATGTTATTTGAAAAAGTGGGTCCATTACATGTGCACTACTATGTGTATAATTGATTTAACCAAGCAACTAAAGAAGTGGAGCTCTGGAGCCACATTCGACTGCGTTTATAGATCCACGCTCAATATTCAACAAATCTTTTTGTTAAAAATAAATGAAATAAGTAATTGTTAATCGATGGAATCGTGTAACAAGTGTGATATTATGTGGATACATGTACTGCTAAAAGTATGAAAAGTATTGTTACAATTGGTATGGGTAATACAGCATAATCTTTATGTTATACCTACACTATTTTGTTGTAGAGATACACTCCTAATTATGAATATGGTAGAGCCTACTATTCAAATCGACAACCAAAATAAAGTATTAACATACATCGCAATTCCAGTAGAAGCCTTACAGGAGTGCAACGGTCAGAACTTCACTGTTCTTTCGGATACACAAAGTCTTTTATTCAAGGCTTTTTCGGAGACCGATACACAATTGCAGGTAGAAAATGAAAGTGGTACCAACATTTGTAGGCAAGTAAGTTTAAGTGTGATTAGATGGCAAGGTACGCATAGATTGTGAGACATTTGCTCCAACTAAATTATCTAATTGTAATTGCCTGATCAAGCATTGTTCTCGTTTCAATGTGATATTGAATCTTTTCATCTTGATAGAAGCTTTGTCTTTGTGCACTGCATAACCTCGTATTATAGGTACATTTCAGCGTGAAATGCTCTCATTACACAAGGTGACCGAAACATAGTTCACATGCTAATTTATTTCCGCTGTTTATCGGGGTGATTAAGTAGGTTTGTGACCTTTAGCACCAGCCACCACTGATTTTGGAAATAGGAAACCGTAGCTTGCTAGATATTGTTTAAAAATTGAAATGCATCATTTTCTCTCTCGATTTCTACTCTTGATCTAAAATGTGAATGAACAAAATAATAATAAAGACACTTTAAGGCTGTAAGATCACACAAGTTGAAGGTAGGTGTCGAGGAAGTATTTACATCAGGAACTTTCTTGCATGGCAATCTATGATTATGAAACTTTTAAATTAGGTAATTGATTGTTTCTTCATGCAAATTTTATATCAAAAATATATTACATCGTAAAAATGGTGAAACGAAGGATGATTCACTAATATTAAATTATGTTTGCCAATTACCCACCACCAATAACTGCTTATGACTTAATAATTACAAGTGCTTTCAATTGCCAATTACTGGTGGTGACAGCCAACCAATACTAGTAGCCGTCTACAACTGCCAATGGCTGGTTGTGGTGCTATTGACTTGTAACATTTAAGTAGAAATATCTCGAGAAATATTAATAAATTGCAATTTTATTTTTAATAATGTACAAAGTGAGTCAAATAGACTCTTTGGGGCTCCTTTAGTATGTGATCTGGGGACCTTCTATAATTGTCTGCCTATTTTTAAAAACGCTATGTAATCTTGTTACCAATGAAACAGTATTCTAGGTACTGGAAGTAGGATGTGAACTTGAACTGTACCAAATTTGAGGGTGACCATTGGGATCCGAGAATAGAGTTGGTTAAATGAAGGTAAAGTGGTGCATTTTGGAGCGAATCTAACTAATTAAAACTTACTTTTGGAGGTAGGTATTTGATAAAGTAGCTGCTCGCAATATTGGCCCCGAGAGGCGCTAATTACTCTTCTTTTTTGCAATTTTTTTGTTTATATTTAACAAATAGTATTGTTTTAGAATGTAATATAATATGATTCCACCTTTTCTGAACCATATTATTATAGACGAGATTATAGATTACATTTTTCTAGACCGGGAAACATTTAATTCTCCACTATGAGTCCGCCTTGTAATGGGAGCATTTAGGCTTGGATTTAAATGTTTCAATTTTTTCACATAAATAGTAAAATGGTAATTTTAAAAGCTGTAAAAAATTTCATGGTTCTGAAGTGTCCTCCCAACTAATTTTGAGATCATTTAATCTATTCAACTTCGTACATTATTGACGTCATCTGAATTTACCACACTGCCATCCATATTATTGTTCCATTTTCCTTCTCCAGCACTGTTATCGAGATATTCGCACTTAAACCGACGTAGCCAATAGATATGTTTCATCCACACATTCTATTATTTTCCTTTGTGAGTACCCTCCTTCAACACTACTGTCTTGAGCCATTATAGTTATGCTTTGGCCAGATGTTCTAATAGCCTTGTGTAAGTGCCTTCCTCTGACATTCCGTTCTTGAGACAATCGCACTTTTACATCATCAACGAATATATCTCGTACAGACGTTTCTTTTTGCCTTTGTGTGTACTATAATCTGACACTCTGGTTTCTAGATATGAGGTATTATAACTTAGCTCGAAAAGATGTTGGACAGAATACCATGAAGGATAATACTAGTTTTTAACCCCCTCTCCCAATTACAAAAAGGTAAGGAATTATAACCAATTTTGATAATAGATCGTGGAGGAAAACGATAGTTGGTAGAAGTCAATTCCTTTCGTTCACTTTCTATTAGAGTACCATGAAGAATAAAACCAGGGTCTTTCCCCCCTCCGCCTCAATTTTGATAAGGAGCAAGAGAGAAGGGATTTTACTGATAATTGTGGTGTGATGCGTATCAGCTACCATTATGTGCCACCACAGTTGTAAGGAAACAAACCGTACGTACTGTGTTTTTGTCGCTTATTAAACAACTGCTGTTAAGTTTTACCGATTTTTGTGTATTATTTAACACATTCAAGTTGTACGAAAGAGAAAAAAATTAATTTTCTAATGATGTACCTATCACATGATCTATATTACCATTTAAAAAATTCAAGATGGCGGTCGCATTAAAAAAACCCTGTGTCGAAAGAAATTTTTATAACCTCCAAATATTTGAAATAATTTCAAATAGGAGCGTTCTAATTTTCTTGTTTATATCTCAAAGGGTTGAACATTTTTAGATATGAAAAATTTTTTAAATATAAAAATCTATCTAATCTGGTCAAAATAACGGTTTTGCGATATTCAGGCGCACGTAGCACTAACACAACACATGTTCGCAGCATCAGGAAACTTCATTTCTTTTCTATTACACTGAACTCAGTTACTGGAGCTGCTTTGTTGAATTAAAACAACATTTTTCTTATGGCTATTCAAACGGGAAAGACTTTACACTTTTGTTGATAAAATAACGTTCTCACGAAACTGCATCTTCAAATAACCAGAAAGGCCAATTACTTACTTTAGAAAATTAGCGTACAACATACATGTTCTTTTCCTGTCGCGAGGTGAACAGCATACGGCGAGACAGCTCTTTCTCTTCCTTATTTTTCCTACTCCAACGGAACACCACTCTAATTCCTACTTCCGCCAATCTCAAATACAACACTAATAAGAAACGCTTTAGGTGTCCCTTTCCCCATAACAAAATTACGCCCAAAAGATATCGTGCACTTGTATCATTTGTTTAAAAAAAATCAATTAATTCTCGTCCGATAACATTCCTTATCGAAAAACGAACAGATGTTTCTTACATTCACGCACGTACACAAATTCATGTTTTACAATTTAAATAAACAAATTTACACGAATGATAAAATTTAAACAACTATGCAATTCTAAAATGGAAAAATAGACACTAAAATACCGAATTCCGATTAAATAAACCAGTTCTGTGCTTCTTTGTGTTTGTAATAAAATCCTCCAGATTTAGATTAAATTAAAACATTGGCAGGTGGGACCGCTATTATTTCAGCGTAAATAATGTCCACCTGACATTGTTTACACAACAGTAATTTACTTAGTAGGAAATTTGATAAACTATTTATTTTAATAAATTCCCACCTAATTTCTTAGATTTTCAGCTAAAATAATTTTTTACTCCATCCTGATATACTTACATATCAAGTGAGTTTTCTAAGTAACTTGAGCAAATGTCTTGCAATCTGTATGTGATCATTTCAATGTGTTTTTGACTTTGTACTAAGCAGCAATGTTTTAGCCACTGCGGATTGCGAATTTATCTCAATACACTGCCAAAACTGGAATACAAACTGTGATAGATACAAATAAATATAATGAAATTAGGTACGTAATCTGTATCAGTATATTTCCTAAAATGGAATACCCCATTCTACGCATTCGCCCACCTAGTTTTCGACATTGATGTTATCTTTCATTAGATGTGTCTGTCGTTAAAATTTCAGGAAAATTAAATGCGATCTGGAATGTCTAATGTTACTATAGCTATACTGAGCTAGTGTTTCCTACTGAACAATCATTTCATGCATTTCCAGAACTTGTGGAACAATTCTCCTGAAATTTTAATAGTACATCCTTTTAATAAAGGTGACCTAAATGTATAATGCTTTTAACAGTTTAAGAAAAGAATCTGTGTTAAAGTCAAGCAATGCATCGACGGAAAATAAAAGAACGAAAGTCAAACTCAGTAAACTTGTTGCGGGTGAAGTTAAAGATGAGCTAGGCTCGTTTAAATGTCAACTCTGTGATGAAGTACTTGAGAAAATGTCGACGTATCGGAAACATATGCAGATGCATCGTGACACTAAAAAGTATAAATGCGAGAAATGCTCGTGTAGCTATAACGTCGAAGATAATTTCAAACTTCACATGGCACTGCACGAGCAGTCGCAACCTACTTGTCCAATTTGTGATAAAAAATTTCAAAGGCTGGCTAGTTTTAAAGCTCATATTATCGTGCACGAAGTAGAGGAGACGTTCACTTGCGTGGAATGTCTCTCAGAGTTTGAAACCGAGGTAAGTTTGTCACTTCTTAATGGCGGTGCTAATAACGTTATTGCAGAACGAGCTCAACACTCACATGTTGACTCATCAGCAAGGTGAAATAGAGCAGGCTGTGGAGGAGTCACCGTTACAGTGCTCCATTTGTAGCTATGTATTTGATGATCCAGAACGGCGGAAAGAACATATCGCCTATCACATTAAAGTAGTTAATTGTATAGGGAGTAAGTGCTAATTTTGTGTTTTTAGATGAAGAAACTGGTTCAGCCTTCCAAGCGTCCAAAACGTAAAGTGGATACAAATAATCCGGCGCATCAATATAAATGTAGCGTTTGCGGTAAATCATTTTCTAAATTATGTCTTCTGGATAGGCATTTTCGGATACATAGCGGCGAAAAACCGTATGCTGTAAGTAACCACGATACAGACAGTATTTAAAAAGAATAATTGAAAATTACATAGTGATTTAATCTCCGATCTATGTAAATAAACATGAAACATCAAAATGTATGTAAAAAAACAATTGTTCTCTCTTCTGTCATTTTAAATCGTCACATAACTAATAGATGGCGCGAAAGCGAGATGTAGTACACTGCTCTAGAAGAATTCATACCGTCGACTTCAGGTAAGAGACGAAAAAATAGACGGTCAAACGTACGAGGGGTTTTTATTATTTATAATGGTTATGAGTTATGACCTTTATTTGGTTTTCAATGTATCTAAGCTTTAGAGCCCCATTTAGTTTTTAAAGTCAGTTTCAAATGATGACACTAGAAAGTCGACTTTGGGATTTTGCATGGAGTTGAGTTAGGATCGGCCCTATATGGCTAAAAAAATTGAGTATTACTTTTGTAAATAACATCACCACAAAAAGGAGCCAATGACCTCGAAAAAGAAATATGACCACAAAATGGGGTCTTGAACGGCGACCAACCTTTGAACTTTGAACGGGGACCAACCTTTGGACTTTGAACGGCGAGCAATCTTTTTTTAGGTTTTAATATCTGCGCCAGAATTTGAAATATTCGCTGGCTCCTTATAAAACATGCAAAATTTCAAAAGTTCATTTATTTTCAAACCCTTTGTGATACTAATCATTACATTTTTTGCAGTGCCATTTATGCAAACGTGCATTTACTCAAAAAGGAACGTTACAAATTCATCTTATTCGTCATAGTGGAGTTAAACCCTTTCGATGTTCGCTTTGCCCTGCATCATTTTGTCAAAAAGGTAATCTCGCCGCAATCAAACCTCATTGTAGCAATCTCTTTTGCAGGTAATTTAAGGGTTCACTTTCAGAAGACGCACGTGATGCCGGTGGCCGGAGCGAAAGCGTACCAGTGCTCTATGTGCACGTGTATTTTTAAAACGGTGTCATCTTTGAACACTCACACTACAAGAGTTCACGCACGAGATAACTGTGATGATTTGTCCGATTTAGTCGCGCAATTAAAAAGGTTAGATAAGCAGTTTGTGCCCGAAACCGATGACCCGAAAGCTTCACTTGAGGCGCTTAACGAAAGGTTCGATGAAGGTGCAAGTTTAGTAAAGTATGTGAAGTTGGTGGATTACAACACTGAAGACGGTTTTCGACGGTACTTAGTCAAAAAGAGGAAAGTAGGCAATCACCAGTGGTATATTTGTTCTTTTTGCACGAAGGAATTTAAAAAGCCTTCTGATCTGATACGTCACATTAGAGTACATACGCGTGAGAAACCATTTAAGGTGCGCAAACAATGCGATTTCATAATCTAATGTTAGTCTTTACAGTGTAAGCAATGTGATCAAGCATTCTCGTTAAAATCAACTTTAACGCACCATCTCAATACCCATCTGACGGAAACGCAGTACAAGTGTATTGTTTGCTCGAAAGCTTTTGCATCTATGAGTGCATTAAACATGCATCGCAGGTTAGTATCTTGCACTCTCTTGTGTCGCTATTATTCAAGCAATTGCAGGCGACACGACCTGAATCCTGGAAAACATAGAACTCATCATCGATACAAATGTCCTGTGTGTGCCAAAATTTTCAATTCGAGTTGTATTATGAAAATGCATATGAAAAGTCACGGTGATGGGAAGACTGCAACTCCTGTAGGAGGCGTTGTAATGCAGGAACCGATGGTAGAAACTGCCAATGGTAATTCATTGTTTTATTAAATTGATTTAATTATTATTTTATTGTCTTTGTTTAATCTGCTTCTTTAGTATTCTGAAGTTTAAGAACCCCCCAGTTTTGTCAATGTTTTCAATACATGTTATAAGACAATAATTACAAGAACAATTTTTCAGGTTTACTCCCATTGTCAGCGCCGCCATTAGTGAAAGTAGAAACCACGAAGCCAAGACCTTATCAGTGCTCAATTTGTGCATCAACATTTACGCGAACCATTCATCTGAAGCGTCATATGCTTATACATACTGGTGAAAAAAGGTTCAATTGTGATATTTGTAATAAGTAAGTAGATACTTAGTTATTGCAGGATTACAGTATTTAATTTATGAAGGTCATTTCATCTAACCTACGCAAAAGAGCACATGAAATTCCACAGTGGGGAACGTAATTACATGTGTAAGGTGTGCGATAAAAAATTTGTTACCAACGCCATTTTAAAGCGACATGCGTTGATACACAATTCTTCAAGACCTTATATCTGCCCTTACTGTCTGAAACCGTTTAAGACGGTCGCAATGTGTCGTAAGCATATTAATATACACAAGCGCGACTTTGAGATTGAGGTAGGAATATAATAAATTAATTATGTTTTACGAAAATTGTACTACTTGTAGCAATTACGAATTGATAAAGTTGATGTCGATCTAACACACCCACTAATTCCTTCCAACGATACGAAAAATGCCGCTCGAACTTCTAATGTTACCAAGATATTTTTTACTGATGCTGAAAAAGGGATTATCATTACAACTCCAGTGAATGACACTGAGGTATGTTATTTCAATTTCGTTGTACAGGTTCTTTTTGGTAAGTACGTACTACATGCGGTCAATATCTTGGTTTAGGTCTCTTAATTCACAAAATCAGCCTTGAAACTTGACCAATTAACAAATTATATCCATTCTCAAAATAAGTAAAAATTTACATCAACATAAGAAAATAAAACATTTTCTTTGGAGGATGACTTAATTATGTTCGAAAGTTCAGAACCTCAGTACATAATGTATACAGTAAAGTGTTAAATAAAGTAAACAAATCAAATTAATAACGTATCTCCAAAGTAACATCCCAAAAAAATAGGGTTTAGGTAATATACTTACCCACAATGTCTTTTAAGTTTTCTACATCTTTATGACAGTGTTGTCAGATCTATGAACCTGAAAATATACATAACCTTGGAAATAGACTGGATGAGTGATACACTAATTCATAATAAAGTGCATGGGTCATGCTATTATTGATGACGTAGATGTTATTGAAGATAGTTCTTCACAAAATGGCAGGATGTCACGAAGTTACAGATGTTTAAATCGAACAGATCGTATTATTTCCAGGAGTCAAACCAACATGTCTTCACAGGTGGTGTAAAGTTACCGGGACGTTAGCAGCTAAAGTACATGTGGGATTAGAAATCATCCTATAGGTAATCCACAAAAACTTAATTAAAGAGAGCCCTTGTATTCGTATATTGGCAAAGTGGTCTATCCTCAAAATCCCACATAAGTGGAAAATACCAAAAATTTGAAATTCTGTAATCTTGTTCGCTGAGTCAAGCGCCATTTGAACTGATCTGTCTCTTCTGCGGCGAATCAGGCCATGCCTGTTTTCCTATCTCGTGATCACGTGGTCATGTTAAATTTGATCTTTATCTAAAATTCATCTTTACCACATAATGGATTTGGATTCGATTCTTATTCTTAATGCAATACAAATCGGTTCAAGCAAATGGTCCTCAAAGGTCGATTCCTTTAGGAATATTAAAATTACTTCGAACAAAATTCATTATGCAAATTCAGTTATTGACGTGGGTAATGATCTCTTTTGGTAACATTTGATCTTATCTCTCCTTTAGAAATATGGAAACAGATCACTTCGATGATACAGTTCACTTTCTGCACTGTTATCTTCATGATGAATGCAAAGTTCGGCGGAAGAAAAGTTCGTATGAATCACGAATCTAAGCAAACCGGCTTCAATTTGGCGAATGTAAAACTCAAGATCGTGATTATGCAAAGGAATAAAATTTCAATTCTCCGCTGTGTTGATAATAATTTTGCCCAATCTATTAACTAGGATTCGTTGCGGTAAAATGCATTGACTAATTGTCTTTAAATTTCTTGCCGTATGCCGTTGTGTACAAAATTTTATTTATCGTAAGGCGCTGTCTAAAGACATCAAGTTTAAAGAACTGCCTTTTAAACAGCCCTTACGGTTAGCGATCCGAAAAAAAAATTTGATCACAATGAGTTTAATGGCAGTTTATTTACCTATTCCCGTTTTTTATTTGAGAAGCGGTTCTCCGAATCACAAATGTTCCTTCTCGTAGATTTTACTACTCGTACATAAAAAGGCCTTGCTACTAATCAGGCTACTAAAACGTTTTTTGTCCCCCCATAATTTCGTGTAATTCGTCTATTCGCTCACATAAAATTGCCGATAATTCTCAGTTTGTCAGAAATCCGAATTTGTTTAAATGTTTCTCCACCACATACTCGAATTTAGGAGTTTTCACTACTTAATATGTACCCGAAGTTAAACTGCTTAGTTTCTACTACTATTCGGATAGATTTCACTCAATGCACGTTCTGGTTCTTGAAATCGCACACGAATCTTCACACATACGCGAGGATATCTCTCACAATCCAGCAAAAAAATCGACCGCGAATAAATTTTTTCACACATCAAAACCTGGTCACTCCTGAAGTTAAACGGAAACCTTTTGTAAATACATGAAATAAACCAATAATAATAATAAGCGTATCCCAATTTGGTACGGGCTCACGTTCGTAACTTCACTAAGAATTCAATTTCAGCGTACCCCACGTAGTACGTGACCTGTCGCGAAAATCAACTCTTCTTTTTTTTTCGCTATTTATTTTAAACTCGCCCGTTAGAAATTCTGAAATGGAACCTATTTTCTGAACGCAACAACCTCGACTAGCGTACCTTTTTTAACGGATACCAAACCTGTATTTTTGTCACGTGCTAGGCTTTAATTAAAACGGAAGGAAACTCTAAGGTTTGACGATATCGTGGCGACCGCGCTCGGTTTCAAAATGCTAATTCAAAACCAAATTCTTGACACGGCAAAGTTGTTTGTTTCAAATTTTCTTTTTCTTTCAAATTGATTCTGATAATCGGTACAAGATTCGATTTAAGTAAGCCATTACCGTTGCTATTTATGGGTTCACTACAGAAGGAATTAAGTAAGTCCATACTTCTCCAAATGCTGAGTTTCTCTTCTTTTGAAAGCCCGGTTCCCTTTATTTTAACGTTTGATTTTTTTAAATCGATTGTTTCCTTTTTGTCCTCCTCCAAGGTCGAAAACATAGTTCTTGTTTCAAGGCCCAGACTTGAGCAAACTTTTAAAACAGTACACCACTGTTGTAGGACAAAAATCCCTACTGGCTGGACTATTGGTATATAGGGAGATTCACTTAAACCGTACGTTAGAAGTTTGAATAGTTGAAATAGAAACTTGAAATTTGGTTTACAGTCATATTTGACCATTGCAAATTGAAATAAAACAATTTCAAGATGGCACCACATCCGTAAATACCAGAAATGGTTCTTTTAAATAGACATACCGTGTGATAGAAGCAGATTTAATTTTTTTAAGCAACCCATTTGCAATGTATTTGTTTCCTACATATTAAGATTGCTAAAAAATGTAATTCACTTGGTAAACAGATGAGCGAAGGTTGACCATATGTGGGATCTTGTACTATTTGCAACCTATATGGGATGATTGCCCAGAAATATAACTTGTAATGATGCTTAATTGGGAACTGTTCTTGGTTTTATCGTCAGATTGTTACTTTTACAGATAGTACCCAACTTACAAGCCACTTTGGATCAACCTGTACCATTTCCAAACAAACCCAGAAATGTCTCATTACTCACGAACACTGGCTCTACAACCATTTTGGAAAACATGGACGAAAATGTTACAAATCTCAGCCAAGAGAGTTTAACAGGCACATCCGACGTCAATTTCCAAACCGTATATGTAAATTCCGACGACATACAGTCATTCACTAGTGCTAATCTTTATAGCGCCTGCTTGTCACAATTAAAGGTAAGAAAAGCTGCGATTATCATTGAAAACGACTGCGACTCTTACGAATGTTTTTAGAACAACGATCCGTTATTGCTGAGCGGAATAAATGAAATTCAAGATCCGAACTTGATGTTTTCGACGGACCCTACACTAAACCAAATTACTGACTCCCAGCTGGACACGCAAAACTTGGAAACCTTACTGCCGACGTTCAGCGTCAATAACGTTTTTCAGAACATTGTCTTGTCGACCGATGACTACATCGATATGAATCAGATACCTTTGTTTGCCAATATAAACGACTCCAGCAAAAAGGTTCAAACGACCGACCAGAAATATGTGATCGACAGGAACCTTATTGAGCTAAGTGACGACGCCTTGGTTGGGAATCCTGCAATGTCGAACTTGTTGCCTAACGCACCTACCTTGGAGGGATCCTTTGATGCAGTCGATTCAGTAAACCAGCTAGACTTGTCATGTTCTTCGTGCAAGAAGAGTTTGAATGATATTGCCGATTTCCAAAATCATGTTTGTGAAGATAAAGAGGATGACCTCAAAGGCAAGGGTAGGACGAGACCTAACAGAAAAGTGGAAGCGAAGAAAAGCACTCGTCGGGTAAGTATGACTATTCCTGTTCATCGATTAGCACAAACTTGTAGGCTAAGATCAGCGAAAAGGACCTCTTTTGTATTGAAGAGGGTGAAAATCTAAAGTACAAATGTACATTTTGTGACAAGGATTTCTCAAATAAAATGATATACACTCGTCACTTATTGTCTCACATAACGGCGAAAAGCAATGTATGCCCCTTTTGCACTAAAGAATTTAAAAAACGCTCGGATATGGTGAGATTGATTATTATATTGTGTTTTGCTATTTTTCTATTTGTAGACTCGGCACATACGGACGCATACTGGCGAACGTCCATATAAATGTGACAAGTGTGGGAAAAGGTTCTCTCTCAAATCAACGCTGGAGTCGCACGATCGCACACATCAGCCAGGTGGCAACAAGGAATTCAGTTGTGCCGTTTGTAGTTCAAACTTTAGCTCAAAGTCCAGTCTGAAAGTACATACATTAGTGCATACAGGTAAAAGAACCGAAACGTATTAATGGGATATTTTTACATATGTTTAGGTGTGAAACCGTTTGCGTGTCATATTTGTTCGGAGAAGTTTCGTACTTCGGCTCATAGGAAGTCTCATATACGAGGTCACTTTAAAACAAATGATTCCAAGAAGAATGGCCAGTCCAAATCTTCGAAAATAAAATTGTTGCAGGCGATAACTTTGGACGCGCAGAATTTGGAAAATAAAAGTACTAAGGAAGATACTCCTCATGTGCACCTAAAGGTATTTTTAGATTATGAAACTTTCATTTTTTACCGCGAACGTTCAATTTTATTCTAAAATTCATTTAGTGTGCACATTAAATGGTAGCGATTTTGATTGGTTTGGAGAGGTAATGATCAACATGGTTGAACGGTATAACATATATCAATTGCACAAGTCAGTGGAATTAGCAGCTTATAGCCAGATTCTCGGCCAGATTTGAGTCCATTTTCTCACAGTCTGCCTATTTTTTTATGTAGTAGCTTTGTTTCAGACCTGATGTACTAAATAACCTTTAACAAAGAACTTTTATTTGAAATTGATATAATCCACAAACTCACCTTAATTCAGGGAGATCATACATTGTTGATGAGATGGAGAATTTTTTTTAGAAAATTTACTCTAAAATGAGCTTATTTCATTTCCATTATCTCACCATGTGTAACACTGTAAAATGTAAAATATTCTGTCGGAAGGTTTTTATTACAATAATAATAAGATTGAGTAGATACTGGATATATTGGAGAGTAACAGATTCCCATGTACGGTTAGTGACAAAAGTAATGATCGCCTAATAGGTCAACTGCAACTTCATTGGTTGGTTGGTTCACATTTCCAAGTTGCACAATATATTAAAATGTTGGTTTCATATGCTGCAGGATTTACCTATTCGGCGATCATTACTTATGTTAGTGAACGTACATTCGACAGAGTTTTCTGTGCTTGTCTGCCGTAGCTTAACCGCATCACTGCTTGAAACCACTCCCACATAATGTGTTCCATTCCTTAGTTGGTTTCTTCTATATTTATATTGTTTGTAACAGTCATCTTATTTGATTCCTGCTTTAGAATATGGGACTGCCAGCAGATGTAGAGTAAGAGACAACCTTTTTATTAGTATTCTTCCAATCTACCCAGAAATGTGGTCTAGCTTGATTAGTGGTGACTAAGACTAAGACAAATAAAATTTATATTCGTTGGCGGAGTTATATATTGAATATACTTACTGCAAGAAATCTCCTCTACATAATATACAGAGTGTTCCTTAAAGACATACTAATATTTAAGGGGGTGATTCATGAACTCATTTTAATATAAAAAAATTTTTATGAACGTATGTCTTAAACGTTTTAATTTTTTAGATACAGGGTGGTCAAGTTTTAAAAAAAATTCGGTTTTTTAATAATAGAGCTAATATTGTAGAGATCTTTATGAAATTTGGTACATGTCTTCTATGCATCAAGGTGCATTTTCTTATGTGCAAAAGTTTTTATTTTCTCTACCAGTGAATTTTGCAAATTTTTTTGGAGAAAAAAAACTACGCCACTGCTTTCTCTTAAAATAAAAATTATTTTTTCAAATTTCATACAGATTGCTGCAATATTATCTCTGTTATTATTAAAAAACTGATTTTTTTAAACTTGACCACCCTGTATCTCAAAAATTAAAACGTTTAGGACATACGTTCATAGAGAGTTTTTTTTGCTTAAAATGCATGTCCTGTCCTGTATAGATATAAGAGGGCGGTTGTAGAAGTTTGCTTTCCTTTTTTGGTAGGTTAAGAACAGATTTTCTCAGTATCCTGTAACTTGTAAGTAGGAAAAAAAGCATAGGTGAGGAAGATCATTGAATCTGGATAGAATCAAACAAGGTTGGTAGCCTAGAGGCTTTTGATTCTGTCCGGAATTACAATCTGCATTCCATCCTCCGCAGTTAAGATGTTTGATATTTTGGTAAGGGAGAGGGTTGGCAACCTTGGCCCCGTTGGTAATGTGATAAGCTCCGCCAGATGTGTTTCAAAGTAATTATAAATTTGCCTAGTTTCCCAACCGCAGTTGTATTGAGGTTTTGCTGAAATCACTTCTTGGGTTGATGCCCAGAACACGTCGTCTCCTCAGACTACGCGGAAATTCCACCAATTTCTGTCTATTGCCAGTTTCACATAGACTGGTAACCAAGGTTGTCAAGACCAGTATGGTACTACTACGACACCCTCAGCTTCATCTGTTTGAAATATTCTTAGGATGATTGAACAAGGGGTAAAAGAAATGTAAGTTACTCCATGATAGAGTAAAGACGTCGCAAGCTACTGGATCTGATTGCCACATTTCGCATTTGCGATTAGCTATGGAGGCGAATAAATCAATATATGGTATTTTTCAGTCTGCTCTTTATTTTCTGAATGAGAGAGTCCACTAAAGACCACTCTGTGTCTGGACGAAAAGCGCGAGACTCGACACCCGCTTCCCAATTGTCCTTGGTGTTAATATAGGAAGCAAATATCCTAATATTTCCCTCTTTGCACCATTGCCAGATCTCCCTAGTTTGTTCATACGTTCGTGCTGCACACTGCCTACTTGACTCACACATGCGATGGCGGTGGTATTGTCGCATCTGACAACGACAGGAAAATTCTTTAAACTTTAGTGAAACAAAATTACCCTAGGAGGATAGCTTGGAGTTCCATAAAATTAATATGGTGTAATTGTTCGTTTGTCAACCACTATCCCCGCTCCCTTTTGTTCCTACAGCATGCCTCCCAACTTGTGGACGATGCGTCCGAGAAAATCTCGAAAGCGAAAGATTCGTGAGTGATAGCCATTATTGACCATCTGGACATTATTCTGCCACCAATCAAAATTCAGAATGGGCATGGATGCATTAAAGTTCATGTGTTATTCTCTCTCAAAGCGTATAATGCTTTGAAGAGTTTTGTGTATATCCAGCCGTACTTCGTTGCTGGGTATACTGGAACTAAGAGTCCGGCAAAGCTTGCAAAATCACGGATTTTACAAGATTGTCTGTTTCGAAAAAATCTAATCAGTTGTAGTATTTTATTCCTTTTTACCACCCGCACGATAGTAAGGGAGGTATTGCATTGGGGTAAAAAATGACTCCCCACTTTTTTGACGGAAATACACGTTTTTTCTTTCCATGTTCTTTTCATTTTCAAAAACTGCAGAATTCTTTTTTTGCGCTTTTTGTTCTTTAACATTTGATGTGGGTTTTTTGTTCTCTTTTATTGTTTTTCGTTCTTCTTTTTCTTTCAAATCTAATCCTTTTTGGTTCATCGAGGTTGACATACAGAGTGTTTCGAAATTCGCGCACACGGACTATGGAATGATGTTATACGACAAAAACTGAACAAAAAGTTCCTCAACCAGTTTTCCATCAGACTGCTATTTTTCGAGCTACCGCGGTTTTAAAAATCTCCGCCCCCCCCTACGCTACGCCACTGGTTAAACTTAATGATAACACATTTTTAAAAACAAAAGAAGGTTCAAAATAAAACAAAATATTACAACAGTTGTTCAAAATGTACACCGTCTGCTAGTAAACAAGTCGAAAAAAAAAGTGCCGGTCTGATCAAAACCTGGTAGAGGAACTTTTTATTCAGTTTTCGTTGTATAACACCATCCCACAGTCCTTGTGCGCGAATTTCGAAACACCATGTATTTTTAGTCAGTGTTTTTAAATTTTTGTTATGGTTTTCATCAGTGAGCCAAATAAGTTCTTCTCGATTATTTGGTTTTTCGGACAACTCTTCAATATTATTGTTATTAAGAAAACTGCTATAACAAATATCTAGATCAAGATCTTCTGTCATAATGTTTTCTTTAATATCGCTCATATTTAAATCAGATAGATAGTCATGAATTTGGGCCACTGGTGGAGTTTCGAGATTTAATATTTCTTGTGTTTTGGTCAAATCAGCTTCGTCATCTAAGTTGTATGTTGGTAGTGGTGTCGGTGCTAATTTCGATGCCATTGTTATCTTTGAAACAGGCCTGCCCACACTATCTTCATAAATATTTACAGTTATTGTTGGCAAAGACGAGAGTCTCTGGCGATTGAGCACATACATTTTCGTTTATTGACCATCAGAATTAAACAAAGCCTGGAAGAGTGAAAACTTTTCTTTGCATTCTTCAAAAAAAGTAATAAACTGATGTTTGTGATTTTTTTTGGGGAATCATATTTTGTACTAGTAATGGAAAGAGTCCACATCTAAAAAATCCATGTTGTACTATGCTCAGTAGTCGTCCTTTCATGTTCATGTTTCACTGAAGAAGAGAAGTAAATACTTTTCGTGTAAGTTTCTGGGTATTGTTATCCATGCGCAATATTTTAACAACTCTTTTCCATCCATTACACATCTATGGGTTTGCCAGTTTGGATAAAGACTTACATGTTAGATTAGTATCATTATTTGGCTACGCGGACCTCATCTGGAGTTAAAAGTCAACACAAGTATTGTGAGTATCCCTTTAGGCCCTCGTTTAGGCCTTTACAATACCATTCATTCCCTTTCATATTTTTAAGGCATCATTCTATCCCCTAAGTCTGTAAGCTTACGATTTCCTAATTTTTGGATAACGCTGCACCTGTAGGCTCCAAATGACTGTAAAGTTGGTAGGTTTTATACTTGAGGAACTTTCTTACATTAAATTCATGAGTCAATTGCAATCACAGACGTCACTTATCGTCTTCTAACGTTTTAAAACTAAGTAATAAATTTTCAGACTGCAAGTCCTAAGGAAGAATCTCTGCACATAGCTTTTGAAGAAGCAAATCAGAGCCAGATAGTGGAAATTGATCCAATTTTTCTGCAACAACTGCAGATGAACGGTATACTAATGCAAGATAATATCAACGAAGAATTAGCCTCCCTCATACAAGTAGACGTGAACAATTGCGAAATTGCGAATGGTGAAACGATCGTCGACAATGCGGGCGAACTTCAAAAACGTAACGTGGTAAAAGATTACAGTTGCGAACTTTGTGACAAACGCTATGTCACCAAAGCGACGTTGACTAAACATCAGAAGAAAGTGCATGCAACCAATAATCAGTTTAAATGTACAAAATGTGATGACAAACTTGCCTCCAAAGAGGAATTGGACACTCATCTAAAATTACACTCAGGCTATCGACCCTTTTGTTGCCTATTGTGCGCAAATACGTTTAGAGAAGAAAAAAATCTGAAAACTCATATGAGACGGTAAAGTTTTTTGATATTTCCAGCGGTGATTTACTAATGTTTTTTATTTTAGAATTCATGGTGTATAGGGAAAAATTGTGAAAAACTACTGCAGGGTGTTCAAATGAAATGGTGCTCTAATTAAATATTTGTTTTTATATTAGTATCTAAGTGTGCATTTATATGGTTGATGTATAATGTTTACAGCGTTTCAGATCGAAAGTCTACCATTTGTCCTGCTTGCTTACAGTGGAAAATCGGTCTTATTTATTTCAAGTGTATAAATTGAAACGTGATGCTAAAATATAGATTGTCTCTCCGACGTTGAGTGAGTGCAGAGCATTTCTTTGACATTTTTCGTAAATTTAGTACATGTAAACAGGATGTGCAGACATGTGATGGTTAAAGTTGAGGAGAATATAATGAAACATTTTATTGCTATTACATAATACCTAAGGTTTACTGATTACATTTAAATCAATTTGTTGCTGCCTTCCTTCATTATTTATGTTTCTGTCTGGACACTGTTCAGTTTAAATTGAGCTACTTATTCCAAATGCACATTGAGATTTTCCTTCAACACTTTGGCGCCAGTGGTTAATTATCTGACCAAATACTATTTTAACATAACCATTTTGAATCCTTATTTTGTCCAAATCACAACCTAGAAATTAGACCAAACGAAATTGATGTCAATAATGGTTGTTTGGTTCTACTCCACATTTTATAACTATAAATTTGTTGAAGCAACTTTTTTTACACATTTTCCCCGTTTACACTTCAGCTGAGAAGGCACACAATGGAGGCTTTCTTCCCAGTGAGAACCAGAACCCGGTAGGTAGCGAGAAGAACGGAAAAAAGGAGAAAATATGCTATATTATAACTTCTTGTTCCCCACCTAATATTTTAAAACTTGTGATATTCAGCATCAGTAATAAATTAGAAGCAGGACTATTGAAAATGTAAAAAAATTTACCTAGTTAAGTGCTAAATTAATGTATGAGCTTGTCTGTGACCAAACCACGGCTGGGGTGCAGTCATTTGACTATATTGAAACAGAATTTTTTATCCTATGTTGGCCTAGTCATTTCATAAATCTCTCGCCAGGAAAGATTGCCGGTCACAGAACACTTCATCCCGATCTACAATAGTAGAGTATAGTGTCAATGTTAAAAGAAAAGACTTTTCGTTCAACATTGGCACGATCCTATTCCGGAAGTCGCTCGCATCTTAAGAAAAACATAGATTGTAGATCGACACAAAAGTGTACTGTGACCGGCAATCTTTCTTGGCGAGAATAATATGAGAGTATAATAATGTAGGTTATGTAGAAGATGCAAGCATATCGAGTAAGTAGATGCCTAACGTGTTGGTACGTCAAGAATTGTTCACAGTAGATGGCGCTTCTAGTATTTCTGCTAGTTTGATCAATAGTGATATTTGATCATATGCCTCACTTGGAAATCGTAAAGTCAGCTTTGCGCAGTGGCGATATTGTAACCGATGAAGTATAACTGAGGTGCAATTATTGCTAGTTGAAAACTTTATACCAATACCCCGCCAAGTGGACGTGAAATACCGTCCGCTAAGGCAATTTTTGACAACCTCTACGGGGGTTATTTATGAAACCAAACTAAATCTTCGTTTTTTATACTTATAGGCGTTTTGTGTATGTGTTGCGCTGGTTTTTCGACAGTGCAAATTTGAAATCATAATTAACTTGTACGTCCGTTCTATCCGATGCCGGATGCCAATCCTTTTTTGAACTCCCGTTTTTGACAACCTCTACGGGGGTTATTTATGAAACCAAACTAAATCTTCGTTTTTTATACTTATAGGCGTTTTGTGTATGTGTTGCGCTGGTTTTTCGACAGTGCAAATTTGAAATCATAATTAACTTGTACGTCCGTTCTATCCGATGCCGGATGCCAATCCTTTTTTGAACTCCCGTTAGATGTTAGATCGATAAGTGATACCATTTATCGATCTCCGGAAGGGGAAGGCGAACCAACTCACCCTAGAAAGGTACACTAGTCTCCACAGTTTCAATAAACGACTAGGCGTTCCGTAAAATGACGGATTTTTAAAAGACTATGACAACACAACACATGCAAAATGTAACGAAGAATGAAAATGAAAACGTGTCGTTACAATTTGGGTGAAGGGGGGAAAGATGCCCGTTATTGGTGGTACCCAAGGATGCTATATGTGGTACCATCCTGATCTGATCACACATTTGAGTTTTTACCAGAAAATTCAAAATGCGTCGGCGTAATAAAATCGATTTTTTCTACAACTGTCAAAAAAACCTGTCATTTTCTGACGGATTTCGAAACGCGAAATACTAGATTTTTAAACGGTTAATTAATAAATAAGTAAGGTTGCTATTGACAACGTGCGCGAAATCGTCAACAGTGAAAAAAAGTATTTCGCGCACGTGACAAAGTTGAACTTAAACAGCAAATTTAATTAACAATCGGTTCAGTTGTAGAAAAAATATTGTATATAACGCTAGCGCGAAGTTATTTCGCGCATTTGACTGATATTTTGACTCGGCTTCGCCTTGTCAAAATACCTTCAGTCTCAATGCGCGAAATTGAACTTCGCGCTCTTGGTATATAAATAACTAATTTTATTATACCTGAATGACAATCTCCGTTTTAAACACTCAAATGCGTGCGAAAAAAGGCCTTTAAAACACACGTGCTTTAAAGTTGCTAAGTAACGATACTTCAAGTATGACTTTTGAAACTGTCATCTGGATGAAATAAAAAATCCTCTTAGGTCGCTTTCTGTAAATGCAGAACATTTCTTTGGCTTTTGTACCTATCCTTTGGTTGAAGGTTTCACAAACGCGCGTAATTTAGGGTATGCTTCCAAATCTGTTCCACTTTTTAATCGCAGTATTGCTTTGAAGTTTTGAATGAATGCACCAAAATATAGAAGATTTAAATACCTTTGACATTTCCTTCATATATGCCAGCATTATCGATGCATTTAAGACTGTATTCGTAAGTAACTTCCTATTCATCCATGGAAACAACTTTTCATATTCTTTATAATAGGCTTTACTGGATTGGATTTTACACCTACCAACGTTTGTTTATATTCTACAACAAGCTATTTAATGGACGGTGTATTATCTTTTTCAACGGAAATCGTTTCATTCACAAAGACGATGATTTTTATAAGCAAACGTCAAGTGACATTTCCATGGCAATCGTGAAATTACGAACACCCAGCCCACTTAATTAGACATGTATTCGAGTATAACGTCAATATGACTTCATTGTATTTCCTATTTTTAAATTATACTGCAGGTATAATAAAAAATACTATAAGATACACGTGTATAATAATTGGTCTTTAAAGCACTTGCAACGTTAAAGGCACTCCGCTTTGCGTCGTGCCCTTAAACTCGTTGCGCGTGCTTTAAAGACTTGATTATACACTTGTATCTTAATATACTATTTTACACAGATTTCGCAATCCATGCAACCGTTGGGAGACATTGAAAATGATACGCGTAGTATGATCTTTGATGATACTTAATCGCATAAGGCCATATGTAAAACACAAATAACTCTTATTCACCTGCAGAGGTCAAGCTGACTTAGTGTCGCAAACGTAGGGTGAAGTGGGGAATCGCGGCCCCTTAATCAAGTTCTGTGATTGTGACCACATTTTTTAAGTTAGGGAAATGATTTATATACCAATATAAAGTTCAGACAATACACAATCCTACTTTATTGTCAAAACTTATTATTAACATAAATAAAAATATAGTTTTTTTTAAAAAACCAATAGTGTAGTACCCGCACTTATAGTGAGGTAACCGCGACCAGGGGCTGCTATTACCAAAAAAAAAATATATATATATATATATATATATATATATTGAATAAATACTGAAATTTTGGTTTATTGGCAAAAATCGCAAACATAAGTATTTTTTCTGCTTTTCGCCGTCTGTGCATGCTTGATGATGATTTCTTCCAACTTCTCCATATTATGCAGATATCTTCTGTGATTTCTTTATCAGAATCTTCATCAACGGTTTGTAAGTTCTTGCGAACCATGGGGGTTGATATGTCACCAGATGACGGAAACACTTGTCTCTTAAATTTCCCCCAGCGACATCAGTCATCAGTCTGGTCTTACCCCATAAGCACATGCCTTTGCAGTGAGTTGTTATTTAAAAATGCTTAATGATATTGTAACTTTAAGACTTTGTTTGGTCTATAAAACTGAGATTCTTACCTTCAAAGTTGCACGATTCTTATAAGAAAAGGGTCACTTTCAGAAAATAATTTACTATTCACGTGTAGGTGTCTGGAGCACGTTCAAATTCAAACTAAGCGTTTCTTGTGAGAGGGTCACATGATTTCACTGTTATACCCATGTAAAGTTACTGGGATGGGGAGATACTGAATGTCCGGCATTACCCCCAGGGCCGGTATTTGAATTTGCCCACTTTACCCTAATAACCTTCTGAATTTTAGATTGAATGAATTAACAAGACATTATTGCGCACTATTAAGTAAATACCGTATCGATTGTATCCGCGACTTTTCCTTCACCTCCGATCACGACCGAGTACGGTAGATACCTACATCAATCATCACTTGATGCGACACCGTGTCTTTTCTGCTTGAACGAAACTTGTAACTTCATACTCATATAAGCTACGAAACAAGCATTTCCAATGCTAAAATGTGTTAGTTTCGTTGATAGAATTCCTATGTAACTACTTGGCAATAGTTATTTACATAATAATAACTCATGAAAGTGGTCGTTTACATGACGCGGAGGCTTATTGAAAAGAACGAGGACGCGCAGCGTCCGAGTATCTCTTTAATGCCTCCAAGTCATGTGGACTCACTTTCATGACATATTATGTATAAAATTTTACCTGAAACCGCAACATGTAGATAACTTTTCCAAATTAAATTATTCATGTGTGTGAAATTTTGATACCTAATCACGCATGCTAAAATCACTTTATTTAATTGTTTCCATAGATTTCAAAATAATTAAAACATTCAGTGTCATTTTTAATGCAGTTTGCAATTTATGCTTTGTACTTTTCAACTATACAGTCTTTATAACTAGGTACAAAAGCAGGTATCAGTGAAGAAGGGTACCTACGCGAGACGTTGTTGTAATGTAGCCGAAGCTGCGGCCGCCGTAGTGCAATATTCGCTCCCCAAAATCAAGAAAGAGGTACGAAAAGGCGTACAAACCTTTTAACTACTGGCGCAAAACTAAAGGAATAATTACTTCCACACATATTTCATTAATTGTTAGTAATTAAAAAACCATTATCTTTTTATTTAAAAATATCCACATAGTCTGCATTATAATAATTATCCAATCGGTGATTGAATAACTTATTCAATGAACGATCTAATTGTTATTTTGCATGTACTAGGACTCTAATGGGA